CTCACACCCTATTGGCATATTCATCGCCCTGATGACGGAGGCAGTATGACCTCTGAAACGTTGGTTAACATCGACCAGACTACACAGCGCAACAACCCAGAAGACAGAAATCTTCATATTCACCGCTGTGAGAACCTCAAGTCTTACATAATTCTACCTTTCAAAATTTCCTTATATTACTGTGTGATGAAGTGTTAATTGCTGCTGCTTCTATTTTGTTTTTATCATCCTATGTTCATGCCTCATAACTGTACTTTATCACTGTGTGTAACATTTATATAAAATATGAGAAATTCTGAGGAGAAGTGAACTAGTGTGATACTAGTACCTGTCTGCAGGCCACATAGGCCTAATTATCAACTTTCTCACTTTCATCACCATCACACACAAGAAAATAATAGCACCATTATCCAAATGTTTATATTATTTTCAGCTAACATAGTTTATTGACAAACAGTAATAGTAAATTATATTAACACTTTGCAGACTAATGTGACCTCTGAGATGTGATCAACTGCTGTGCAAACATCACCAAGATGTTTTGATACTGGTGCCAATATTTTAATCCTGCCATCTATTGATGACAAGGTGAACCCCTGTCATCAACAGACGGCAGTATTATGCATCTGTGAGATACTTCACTATAATTACGTAATTTATCAAAGAAAATCATAAAATAAGAACATATCTAAAAGCATACTACGGTTAAGTTTGTGGTTCAAAGTAATTCCTCATATATGACATTACAAACAGACCCATTGGCATGGGAAAAATTCACCAATCCACAAAATACATATGGCAACTGAAACGTCATCAAATGAAAAGCACTGTACATTCACCATGTTACCTCTCTAAAACATTTTCATCAGCTTGTAGCACTCCAAAACCCCATTCACTGGCATTACTAAAGTTACACATAAGTTGTTGTTTTTTTGGGCGGGCAAACTACTTATTATGGTACCAGTTACTCTACTCACCAACAACCAAGTCTGATGTAAGGTGGAGTGCCCTTACAGGCCCAGGAGGCTCCCTAACTTCAGCTTTAAGCGCACCATCAACAACAATCCGTGCTTCTTTTCTGAAAAGCAACAATTGTAAGATGACAACAGCAGAGGTAAACAGCTACTTTGTAATGAAGGATTCTCTGAGGTGCAAACATGACAATGCATAATATTCACGTCCCAAATCAATTCTCTTTATTTTGCACTTTTCATATTTCAGAACCCCCAGGATTACAATTTAGTTTTCCATAAGAAAGATTTAAATAGAGATTCTCATCAACATTACAAATTTGTTCAATTTTAACTCAAGCAGATTTACTTACATTATAATTATTTTAAAAAAAACCTTGTTTACACAAAATGTGATGGAAGATTCTATCAAATGCACAACTCCAGCCAAAAATTTTCCTTTTCTATGACATTTTTAATTTAAATATACTACATACATTCAAATATCAGAAGTCCCACAGTAACATGCACTCCGGTTTTCAGAAGGATAAACATTGGCATAAAATTATTTTTTTATTAATACTGAGTTACTTGAGTTGTTTCTCATTATGTAACTTGTATGTAGAACATACATTATTATATTTGTTACTTTGGTTTGATCAGAATTTTCTGCAGTAGAAATACAAAATTATACAAGTGTAGGAAGTAGAAAAGAGGCCATATATTATAGTGTATATAAATATCCAGTCATTCATCATTGCTTTCAATGAACATTTTGATGAAAACATATTCTACTACATGTAGGATGGGCCTGCTTCCTAGAACTCTGAATACACATTCACCCTGAAGATGGCAACCACAATGTCAGCTAATGCATTGGAAAACCTACAGCATTTGAGATGGCTTATACCTGAAAGCCAAAGAAACAGAACTTCACCTTTGAAAACTGAAGAACACAAACTACCCTGGGTGAGTGAGTGTGTGTATAAACAGTAAAGTGAGAGTAGAGCTTCCTGCAACATGCCATACAGGTGCTTGGGGTGAGAGGAGGTATAGCTCCTACTCTTTCTTGACCTCGGCACCAGATGGGGGTGAGTGGTCAGCATCATGCCCTGGCCGTGCTTTACCCCTAGGAAAGGACCGCGGTACCCATTGGATAGGAGGCTGGGTGGGCCCCAGAGCCAGTCTGGATGCAGAGGCTAGAGGAAAAATCCTCTGCCCCCCGCCAGGGATCAAACCCCAGTCATCCAGCCCGTACCTAGTCACTATACTGATTGAGCTATCATGGTTCTCTGTGTATAAACAGGTTTTTGAATATTTTAATTTTTACATTTTCAAAAGAAGGCAAGACAAAATATTCTAAACTGTGTAGTAACAAACATTCCAAAAACTGAATAAAAATGCTCTTAATTTCTTCATGAATGCAATTTTGATTTCTTTACTACTGTTCCCAAATATTAGAATATGTCACACTTTCATTGATTTTATTAGCAAACAATTTTGGCTCGATACACTATAAAAAGCAACCTGCATACAATTTTGTGTGCTTGGAATGTCTTCCTTAATTTACACTACAGACTGGGTCATCAATTTCAATTTTAGACTAAGAATTTCTTTTTTAAATAAAACATGTGGTTGATTAAACTAAAAATTAACAATGGAACTTCTCTAATAAATTATAACATCTGATACCCACCTGTTTCTTTCCACAGACACAGAATGCCAATTGTTGTCAGCTAATCTGTATGAAGTATCCACACTCACTCCAAGTGGGCCACTGCCAGCTTGATACTGAAACTGCAACTGATCACCACCTGTTAACAAGTATTTTGTTTGATTTCAATAACTAAAGAAGTGACATTTTGAAATTTCTTTCCTTAAACTGTTGACAAATGAAAATTAATCAAGTTCACAGACAGACAAGATGCAGCAGAAGCTTCTGTGTCAATCTGCTTTTGTATGCCAACAACAAAATTCTAGTTAAGACGTCATTCACATTCTATAACAATACTCATTTCACAATCTGATACTGTGAGCTATGAGCAGGTTAAAGAAAGAGACCTAAGCTGATTGAAAATTGTGTTAAGAAAACATTATTGTAGATTTAAGTTCTGTTAAAATCAACACCACTACCATTTTCAGAATAATGACAAAATCCTGTGTATACTTTATGTTCCTAAAAGCAATTTATCTCTCTTACTGCTTCTGAATTTTATCAAAGTATCTACTATGACTTCGCAGTATCAAAAAATCACACCAGGTATCCTAAACTGAGACTAATCAAACAGCTCAAATACAGATATCTGAAAACAAAAATAAATTTAAAATAATAACAGTCACTGCCTTATACAAAGTGTATCAAAACTGTGGCTGTTACCACTGCCATACTCATTGAGTTATAATTTCTCAAATGTCACTCGCAGGCAGCCACATATGAACTCAAAACTCTGAAAATCTGGTATAAAAATATATACATCCTTTTCCTTCAAATAACCTTCTATTTACAATCATAGTTAGTATGAATAAATAAAGTGGTACTGCCATAAGTGAAAGTGTGTTTTACTACATGATAATTTGAGTGATAAAATGTGTTTCTAATTCTGACAGTTTCAGTTAATCGCAAATATGGAAATACTGGTGAAAACACAGATTTCATATTATCCTGGAGCAAGCCTCCAAAGTATACCCAGCAATTGAACTGGACTGTTTCTGCTTTGTCTCCTCAGCAATTCTTATGCACTGTGTACATTGCAGTTGTTCAATTTTACACAATCAGATTATTTCCATTAGGCAGAACACAAGAACCTCAGCCTACATCCGTAGGGACCAAGAAAGCCCCAAAACCATGAATTGGTTAAAACCACTTCCAGCTCAAAGCAAAAGAAGCCCAACAGAGCATACGAGGTATACACCAAGAAAAAAGTGAGATGAAGCTAATCTGTGCCTCCTACAAGATTCTACTGTATTCTGGTTCCAATACTGTAGAAATCACACCCTTGAAAAGTGTGCTGAAAATTCATCACATTTACTGCCAATCACATTAAATTACATTTTCTTTATCTTGAGCCACCAGTTCCAAATATGTCCATTAATGTTTTGGTGCTGAAACCATATCTTATCGAGATGCCAATCAAATGCAGTCCCTAAGTCCACCATGTCTGGTAAGAGAAGTGAATGTGTTGCTAAAAAGTTGCGTAGGTCTATTGCGTTAGAAGATAAGATGGACGTAATTCGTAGAATAGAAGGTGGTGATACCCGTCGTAATGTGTGCATAAGTATGAAGTTGTCTCCTTCCACTGTGACTACCATAATGAAAAATTCATATAAAATAAAACAGTCAATGCAACAGGCTACAAAGGTAAGTGCAACACAAGTGAGTTATAGCAGAAGTAAACTTTTAGAAAGAATGGAGAAATTACTGTTGCTATGGGTGGATGACATAAATCGAAAAAACATTCCCTTGACTGAAATTGCTATCACGGATAAGGCGAAGTCAATTTTTGAGGATCCCCAAGTCCTCAATGTTTGGGTGCCGGGAACACGTCATTGACTTCCCATTGATTTACATTATAAAAAGGATTTCAATTTACGCCGATTCCATTTACGCCAGTTCGTCCAGGAATGAATCCCCGGCGTAAATCAAGGTTTACCTGTACTGTGCCAATACAACCAGCAAGTTATCCTCACATTTCTATGTCTAAACACTGTTCTGAGAATTTGGTTATTTACATTATTTGCCAATTTCTTATCTGGACTTACCGATGATGGAAATTTTTATATAATCAGTTGGTCCCTTGCTATGGATGATGACAGCATTCTCAGCAGTGGTTCTGAATTCAAAGTAAATATCTCCACTGTGCCCCATATCAAATGATGGAAGGTTTATAGAGGAATCAGCAACACGGAATGTTACGACATTGTTGAACAAGTCTGCAAAATAAATAAATAAATAATTTTAAAAAGGGGGGTCAAATCTGTCTTTTATTTACATTTCAAATATGAACACTGAAGTATGCAAACTTTCACACAGCTAGTTTCATCTGTTATGTATATGATTAGGATAGATATACAAAATAAAATAAATATGAACAAATGAAACTCATCATCATTCACGTTACACAAGTTTTACTCTAAAGTTTCTGTGCAAAATCAGGCATGTGAACTAAAAACAAATATATCTAGTCTTGTTTACAAAAGACTGGAAAAAAGCAATGAGTCCTTTTCGGCGCAACTAGCTTGATAATACCCTAGTACCACACTTGCAATGTTCTCTGGTATCACAACACAATCTGCTTGGCAATGTCATGAAGAACACACTCAAATATTGCTTTTAAATTTATTTACATACATACACCATTTCCTTGTGGCGCATTTTAGTATACTGATATGACAATCTACAATAAACTTCAGCTTCTTTTATCATCACACATGAGCAAAACAAATGCAAATTACAGTTTGCATCAGTAGACAGAGCAGAGAATACATTCAATGATGCCAACAAACTTCAAGCAAATAACATAACACAATATTTTAATTATTGTTTACATTTAATAATTTATAATTCTGAACTTTTCATCTAATCATCCTCATAAAAAGAAACCTGTCTTTGTAAATCCCAAGAAGTTGTGTAATGTAACTGTAATGTTATTCGCACAATTTCAGGCCCTGTATTATGTAATACACACACATATGCAAGTCAAGTTATACTATTTTACTTCTGATATAGACATTGAGGATGTCACACAACATACCATCTCCTTCACACATGAGTGGACCCAAAGTGTATCGACCCTCCTTTTCATCCAGTGGACTTCCTGTATCACCAAATCGCAGCTGTTTAACAGGTAGATGTTCCTTATATGTCAAATCTCCTCCATCTTCCAGCCAACTGTCTAAACCTGGTTCAGAAACAAGACATAAATTCATGACAATTCAATCCCATTAATGGTATGCAGTGAGACAAAAATTTGAAGTTTGTATTCAGTTTTTATAATTACTAATATTAGTATGGCAAGTTACACATTCCATCATTCTTTCCACGGAAAATTTTCGACATCTTCACCAGAGTGATTTAGTGCATGACGTGCAGATTTTTGCAGCTGAATGTGTCTGTACTGTAGTCAATCCTTGTATTTTTAAATAATGATGCATACAATATGTCAGGGGGGTTCTGTTTTGTACTGCCATCATGAACTAGAATAACTATCAAGGACTTAATTATAAAATTTTAATGACAAACAATTAAAAATGTGTAAGCTAGTTATTTCATCTCAAGAATGTACTGTTTATGAATTTAATGTCCCATTTCCTCCACCCTCAACTGATTTTAACTGATTTACATTCTACATCTCTGTAAGGTAAACCTATAAATCGTGATAATCAAGCTAATTTAATAAAGATACTACAGTTAATCACATACTCATTCAACACAGGATATTACATTTTTAGTCACAGATATTCACTTATGTGCTTAGAGTTAAATAGAAACAGAGAAATTCATAAAACCTTAATTTAGAGAAAACAGTACCCAGCATATTCCACACTGTAACAGTGTGTGAAAGCATAAACAAGGAACATCTGAAGTTGGGCTAATCAGCCCAAAACATAAAGTGATGTGTTACATATAAGACTTGAAGTATTTTTATGTTGTGTTAAGACGGCAATAATAAACTTAAACTTTAGCTCACAATATGGCACTCCAGTACAATCTCTTCTTAAGTAATTATAGGAAGACACAAACATCCTTAGTACATGTTCAAGGGATCAAAGAACAAAGGTAAAAATTGTTGAATATGTGATACAGCCCATACCTGAGTCACAATTACACCATTTAGTGGTATCTACACACTTCCCCATGATCCCGCACTCACACTTGCGGGAGCCCGGTAGAGAACCACCCCAGTAATCCATGCGCTGATTAAAACGGGAAACCCACCAGGAAGAGGGACGGAAAGTTCCCTCATCAGCTGGAAAAGTACATAATAATAATAATAGTACTAACAAGAACAACAATAATAATAAGAACTGAACAAATTTAAGAAATACTGAAAGACAGATTTAAGACATTTTATACAGAGTAAACAAATCATGCCCTAGGGTAGAATTTGAATTTGAGACCATTATCAGCATAACACTTGAACAAATTTTTTAAGTCCACATAAAATAATGTTTTCAGACCAACATGGGTGATATGGACCATTACTGTTAGCTAAATTACCAGAAGAACAAAGGTACTGGTAAATATATATGCAGTAAACAAATAGTAACGTAGAAGCTTAATCATCAGTCCTGAGACAGGGAAAAAAAAGAAGTAACTTTTAAAGTGAGAGAGGATAATTATTCAAAATTAATTATAATATGCTATTTCATATTTTATTAATTTTTAACTTTGTAACATATTCAACATTATCTTCAATTCGTGGTCATACCAACAAAACACAGCTTGAAACTTTGACAAATTCAACTGGCATATAAATTAAACAGACCACATACATGGAGAGTTGAAAAGACGTGACTGCTTGCATTCATAGCGCAGTCTCTGTTGACATGTCATAGATCTGTTGATAAGTGCTTCTATTTGATCCATATCTGCATCATACATTATATCTTGCATAAAACTTCCAGGTTCTTGGAAACCATCTACTGGAGTTGTTCCTTCATTCTTGTGGCTCAACACAGTCAAAACTCTTCCATCCGCTAAAAAGAAAAACAATGTTAGCAACACTATTGAAGATCCTGAGTCATGCTACCTAGACATGATGAGATGTCACAACTCATAGTAGTCTGCAAAGTTCCACTATCTGATGAAAGGTAAGTAAATACTTTGAATTCAAAATGTTTCAGAGCACCAAAAATGTTTGGTAAATGTTTACGGGCGAAAAATAACTGCAAATTGAGTTAACTGATAACGGCAGTAAGACTGTATTTTGTTTGCATTATGATAAAGATGCTGAATTATCAAAAAGCAAAAGAATGAATGATGAACATTTAATATACTTTCCAAATTGCTTGTCTAGCAGATCAACAAAGCCAATCACTCAATGCAACAGCTATATAACACTTCCAATCCTTTTACATGTCTATCCAACAACAATAATAGACAATCTTCATTAAGCAAAGCAAATGGAATTTGAAATCTCAATCTTGGTACTGAAAATTTTATCCCATAAACAATGCAGGCAATGAGAAATTCACAGTGGATTGTGGCCTTCTGGGTTGTGATCCATGGAGATGGAGGTGATATACTCCAAAAATCAGTAACAACTATGGTATCACAACAAAGAAGTACACAATCCATAGTTTCACTGCCATGGAAACCTCAAACCTCATAATTCATGGGTGTGCTGTAGTAAATCTGCAACAAATATAACTTGTATAACGATAACACAGAGCATGCATAACAACTGAGTATGTAACTTCGATAACTTATTGTGACTAAACAATGTAATTTGTTTAATTATATAACTTTTAACTAATTCCATCAGGCTGACAGCTCACCCAGTTAATAAATTCCCTGTTTTTATGACAGCCAAAGTTTCATTACCATCTTTGCAAGAGCCAGCCTCCAGTCCCTATCCTGATATAAATTCAGTCCAGACCCAATTTCCCTAAGATCTATTTAAATTTTATCATTTCATCTACAGCTAAGTCTTTCAAGTGGTTGCTTTCCTTCAGGCTTCCCAACCACAAATCTGCATGCATTTCTCAGCTTCATATGCAATCCATGCCCTATCCAGCCCATCATCCTTACTTTAATCACTGTAATAATATTTGGTGTAGAGTTAAAGTATGAAATTACAATTACAACATTCTTCCGCTTACTGTCACTTCATCCCTCACAGATTCAAATATTCTCCTCAGTACCCTATCCTAAAACAACCTTAATCATCGTGCTTCCTTTAATGCAGGAGAGCAAGTTCCACACACATACATATAAATCTCAATCCTTACATTTTTAGACAGTAGCCAGGAAAGCGAAAGATTCTGAACCACATCTCGGCATGCATTCCCTGAATTTAATCTGCTCTTTACTTCTATGAGTATACAATTTTGATTTATTGTCATTTTTCTGTTCAACTTTACCACTAATATACAATACAATTTCCCACTGTAATGTAGTGAACAGATGATACCAGAATGATGGAGATGGTAGACAAGAAAAACAATATTGAACACCAGATGATAACTCTAAGAGCTGAAATTACAACTAGCAATAATCCCACCTCGAATAGACCTCACTGCTTACGATACTGCCAATGCGCAAAGCTCTATATAGAGTCTGGCAGTGGGCTTTAGTGAACACGGTGGTAAACCTTCGGATTCCACAAAGAAAGTGGGCTATTCTTTGACAAGCCAAGTATACAATGGACCTTTCAAAGAATTTCCTGCACCAAAGAGTGAGCAGGAAGAGCTGAAATGTCTCACGGGGGATATTCCAATGAAACATATTCTCACTGCATGCAGCTAATACTATTCAGTCATTATACAACAAACATTCACCTACAAAATGTCTCTGTTAAAGGAAATCCACAAGCAAACAATGTTTGTATAGTGTATGGTGCTCACCGTAAAACTCGCACGTTACTGGGAACGGACGCAATGGACCACTTCCATCTACATCAATCTTCATTTCTGCTCTTTGGTTAACAGGATTTGTGTTTTTGTATGCAGTACAAGACAATGGATTCAAAGCTGCAAGGACAACACAAAACTCACATATCTGGTCCTTCACTCTAAATTATCATGTTATGATTTACTATGCATGAATTTCATTGTTATACTTTACAGTCACGGCAGACGAGGAAAGAACAAGGAGTGAACACATTTTAATATCATTTCATACGGCTGACTTGTACACGCTGCTTAACCCATAATTGTCTTATGGAGTCACTGTGCCTTCAGTTTCCTTCTCAACTGCTATTCAATAATGGTATCACAGACATACCATCAAGTCAGTACTTGATCAAATAGTATACACAATGGTAGCATTTAGTCTTATACTTTCTGTATCAAATGAAGTCATGCTTCAGAGGGGTCAGAATGACCCCACAACACTGTCTGTGCAGTTTCATGATTCTGCAAATTCTTCAAAATCTTTCTTCAGAATATTAACCTTTCTTGTCTTAGCTGGTTACATGTTTACAAGCTATGGTATTTTCTTATATTTATAATAAACAGCATCATCACATGAACATCAATAATACTGAGTTTTTCAATGTTTCCTAAACAGGAACGCAATGCAAATTAAAATCAGTTGTTAAAAGTAAGTTTCTGCACAAAACAAGTAATGTATTTACTTATTTTAAATATTATCTGATACCCTCCACACTGACTTGCATTCTCTTCAATCACACAACTGTTTCTGACTATCATATTCAGAGTTCATACAGATAATCCAAGTTGATTCACCAAGGGCCCCCAGATGTTTGTCAACATCCTATAGTATGTTGTTTTAGTTCTAAGAAAATGTTTTTTCCTTCCTTATGAGGAGTCATCATGCCTTATCAAACATTAAGATAAAATAAAAAACTGCAGTGCACACAGACTGAGCTAGATTAAATAATAAAAATACTTTAAAGCAGTCATGATGCTTGCAAGATGGTGACTAATTGAACAAATAAAAAGTTAATCAGTCATAAGTGAATGGCATAAAGTCTTGAAATTAAATTAAAGTAGATTGTGGTTAATTGGACCATTGGTTAATCAGGGCAGCCATTTATTTGGGACAAATCTTAAAGAAGAAAAAAACCAAGAAAATAACTGGAATTTGCTTCGCTTATTTGGGACACCATGCCGTTTAATAGGGACAGTGAGTGCCAGATGGTACACTTGTGGCGTGGAGGAGTCAAGAGTGTCATTGAGACTGAGTAACGAACATGGGTGTATTCAGACAGTGTAGTGATTCTGCTTGCAAGCAATAAGCAGCAAGACCATTCAGAACTGCTTTGTTCACTGTGGTTTTAAGCATTCAGGCTTGGCGATGCCAGATATGACCGATAGTGAAATTGATGCCATTTTGGAAGTGCAACACGTCAGAAACTATGTAGACTTTGCATGCATCGACAACAGTCTTCAATGTTACAATGAAAATGAAGATTATGAGGATGCCATTGTTGAACAAATTGCAGCAAAACACCAAAAGACATCAGAAAACCAGGAAAGTGATGAGGATGACACACCTGGGCTTGAGCAAGTGACTAACCAAGAAGCCAGGAAATTTGTTACTTGATTACAATGCTACTTCATGCAGGAAGGCAATGAAGGCAGTCCTATATCTTCACTAGATACCTGTGCGTATTTTGTTCAGTTGCAGTCAATCTAGAGAACACGGCAGGGTACACTCGATTAATTCCTCCATCATTAACTGTTAAGAACTCATACATGTGTGTCTGACACATACATTAAATTGAAATTGTTTTAGGTGTAAATATTTTTCTCTGATCTATACCATTTGTTCCAGAATTCATTTATAGTATGTTGCTCAATAAACAGGATTTTGTCTTTTGTTTTAAACCTTTTTAACTCTATGTGAAACTTAGCATAATTGGGGCAGCCGCTTAATTGCGGCTAAGTGTTCTAGTCCTGATGTGTCCTAATTAACCAGAATCCACTGTATATGAACTTTGTCAGAACAAAAACCCAATGTAGCTGTATGGAAATTATAAAGGGACCAAAAAAAAGAGTGTAGATTATGGGAAAACATATATTCTAGGATCATAAATAAGAGTTTACTGTACTAAATTTCATTCAACTTCATAATATTAAACCTGCCACATGATGGTGGTACACTACTTACAAGTATGGCAGACAGCTCCTGAATACCCAGTATTAGCACAATCACAGAAAAACTCCATTGAATTCTGTTTGCAAATTCCAGAGTGTTTGCATGGATTTGGATTACACCGGTCAGTCATTTGGCAAGTGTCAAACACAACGCTATTGGCACAGCAGTATTCCTAAACAAATACATATTAACAACAACAAGAAGACAACATAATCTTGTCATCAACTCTGAAAAACATAAATTCCATTATCTGTTCACAATTCTTCAAACTGAAACAGAGAGCGGTATTGTGAAGTTGTTGTAATGATACTCCACAAAATAATTTTCATACCGTAACTATAATCAAAGAGCGAAGAATACAGTCCTTTACCAACAGCCTCCTTATTACATATAATTACTGATTCTAGTACATCATGTGGTGCTAAATTATCTCTTAAAAGAGGATATTCAACACTGACTGTGCCTAGCTATTTCTAAGGGACTCAACTGTCCTTTAAATTGTGGATAAACAGAAAGTTTCCAAAGCACTGCTCTTTCCAGAATACCAGATCATGGACAAAGTCCAAAAATCCTCTAACAGGTAGTAATTATAATACAATATCATTAGAACCCTCTGGAAAAGAAAAGATCTGTTATTTCACAAAAAAGGTCAAATGTAATATATATAACAAATTAAATTTTACTTACATCTTTTTTCCAATCTGTTGGCAATTTGTAGTTGCCATCTATACTGATCACTCTCATACATCCCACAAATCCTCGGTGCTTTATAACATTATTTGGAGCTCCTGCAAAACATTTAAATTCATATTAAATGCTGCACACTTTTTCATGAACGTCTGGCTGCACCAAGCTTTTTAAGAGTTCCTCAGCAAAAAATAATTATTCTGGTTACTTAGAAACACTACTAAGTCTTCTTCAGAATGTGATTCATTAAGTAACTTGCATATAAACTAATTTTCAAAGTTGTAAATGTCTAGCAAGGTACCACAATTGAATAAAAACCCCCCCCCCCCCCCCCCATCAGAACACATGTATTTGATAACAGCGGTGTTACGGTGTACGGTGGTGTACTCGTTTGGTCATATAAAGCAGTTTAGATTTAATAGCTTTAGAGCACATCTGAATTCAGTACAAATAGTATCATTCTATCTGCCATGTGAGATACTAGAATAGAATACTGGCATCCTTATTAGAGACATCAACCCTTTAATATCCAGTGATAACTAGCATTTCATATGCTGAAAGTATTTATGACTATTTTGTGACTTCCAGAATAAACAATTATTTCCTAACATTGTTAACCATTTGGTTTTCATAATAAAAAGGGATAAGTTTTTTTAAGGTAGGAACTGAATTTTTAAACATTAGTTGGGAAAACTTCGGTTTCAAAGGGGTAACTCCTTATCTCTGCTTACCTGCTACATAGTAAACACTTCCAGTAGTCATCGACAAAATACGAACAGTTTTCATTGGTCTCCCATCAATATTTAACTCTAGAAAATTGGTCCCAATTGTGAGGATCACTTGATGCCACCTTCCATCATTAAACACATCTTCATAATTGTCTAACAGAGCTTTTGGATTCCCAGCTGTCAAGAGTTCAACTTTAATTTTACCATCATGTAAGAAGAGCTGCAACAATAAACATGAAACAGAATCAAGTACAAACTCCAAAGAACAAGATCTTACAGATTACTGCTTCATTATGCAGTTCATATAAAAATATAATTTTCTGATATAACCCAACAGAAGTGTTAATAATAAGAAACATGAATTTTTAATTACTATACTTCATTTATACCAATTTCAAGGCAAATTTTAGCATCTAATAACTGGTTACTGGTGTCTCACACACAGTTTGCAATGACTGGCTTAACAAATTCCTTAACATCCAAATAGTCTATTTACCTGTATTATAATCCACATGAGAACATAAAGTCCAAGTTTTTAAAAAGTTCCCAAGAAATTATTCTAACATAAAGGCCCAGGTAGGACTATTTGACTTATAAAAATTCACTAGTATTGTTATGGTAATAAAAATGAGAAGGTTAGGACAAGCTTGGCATATACATTAGATGGTGGAGACAAATGCATAAGGATTTTTGTCAGGGAATTTCCTTGAAAAAAGCCATTTTGAAAAGCAAGTTTAAGATGGAAACATGGTATTACATATAATATATGCAGTTAAGAAAGCATCATTCAACAATTTAGTGAAACAAGGTATTGAGAATGGACGCTAGATGGAAATTACTCAAAATTCTGTTCAGTTTTCACCTTTGGGGTTCTAATACCAGTTAATAAGCTAGTTAATTACAATCCTCACAGGATGACTAACCCACAACTGATAATTACCCATCATATTTAAATAAATATTAATAATACCGACATTCTTCTTCTTGTACCCTTTTCTCTCCTACGTGGAGCATAGTGACCTCCTTTCAGAGGTTTCTGATCTATTTTTAGACATTTGGTACGGACTTCTTGGACGAGTGATCAGCCCATTGTAAGGCCTCTACCAAAGATAATGAGAAATGGCCACTGAATTTTGCTTAGGAAACATCTTGTTCAAGCTTGTAAGGTTCTTTTACATGCCATAAATCTATGACATGGGACCGCCAGCTTTACTTCCCCTCCAAAATAAGTGTGCTACAGATTTTTATCACCCTTAAAAATCCAATGACCTCAGGTGGATTTGAACCCACAAACCTTGGGTCTAGTGGCAAGCACGCTACCACTAGACCACTGAGGGCAACTACTTGTACTATATACATCCAATTTTGCATGGTTAGACAATTTCCTGCATAAAAACATGACATGGTGAAGAGCTATAGAGATTTACTGATACATTACCATGGTCCCGAAATGCAGAAATTTTGTATTACAGAAATAACCAATCACAACTTACAATAATGTAAGCTTGCAGCAGATAAGCAAACCTGTTGCATGTGAGAATAACTTTCTGAACTGCAATCTGGTGATTTTATTGACAGAATAGTGTGTCATACTACCAATTACTAGCATTCTAAGAATATTATTACAATATTAAAATATTATTGCAAAGGAAATTATGAATCGTTTTCAACATTATGGATACTTGTGTGAACAGGACACCAACTAACACAATGATTACAAATACCTTGACATGGCCATCTGATGCAAAACTGTGATAAAGCAGAAGGCCATCCCCCTCATATGTCCGGAATGCAAAGGAAGCATTAAGAGACTTCACACCTTCATAACCTTTTAATTTTGCATATGAGTCTGACGTTAAAAATGTAACTGGAATAATTGGAGGTTCCTGCAAAGATAAGTGAAAATATTCAATGAAAGTCATCAAAGTAACACACGAAAAGAATTACATTTATAATTTAATTATATAAATCAACAATGCAAGTAACATTTATACTACAAAACCCAAAAAATACCAGCATTAAAGATACAAACTTTTATTTTAATGACATGAACATTTTTTATACATAAATAATGGTGCAAAAATCAGGACATTCTTAACATTTAAATGTTGTATAATATTATTTCCTTTATAATTTTGCACATCATTTAATTACTTTTTATGTCTGGCCTTTCATATATCTTTACAAGCACATACATAATACTCTGAATGATCTAGAATTGTGATAACTGTGAAGTGCAAATACTATTTGTAATCATCATGACATCAGAAAATCCATACTTCAAGCAAAGAACCTAGCAAGTTAATTACTCACTACTGGTATGGTACAATAAGTCCATTACTTACAGGGCAGCTGTAGAGAGTGTGTACTTTCTCATATAAATAGTTATCACCATAACTTGTAGCCTCTTTAATACTGCTGATCACATTAGTTGTGTTCAGATAAAGATTCTCCATGCAGCCTGTAAAGTTCTGCATTACAAGCAACCCATCTTGTTTGTTAGGAACTCCCCCAATATAAAACTGAAAAAAAAAAAACACAACTCTCAAAACTCTTCACTGTTAAAATCTGCCAATGTATTAACTCCTAATGGCATTTCTTAAGCTCAATCTGATAAGTACTATACAGATTGGAAATTAACATACAAATACATTTTTGGAAGGAGTCATGTGGATAAAAAGGGCATAGGGTGTACTCTAAATCAGCAATTCATCATCATCATCATCAACATCATCTGTGGCTCTACAACCCAGTGTGGGTCTTGGTGATCTCTTCTGGAGGCTACTTAATCTATTTTGACATTTGGTAGGACTCTTTGGACGAGTGATCAGCCCGTCACAAGGCCTCTACCTGTACACAGGACACCACAACACAGAAAGACGTGGACAAATATCCATGCCTTGAGTGGAATTTGAACCCATGGTCCCAGTTTCCAAGCGCACAAGGCCCATGCCTCAGATCGCGCAGCCACTGTGACCAGCTCTAAATCAGCAAACCCAAAACTAAATTCGTTTAAAAGAAAATGGAAGTTCAAGATACTTACACCTCGGTTAAGATTCAGTCTGTAAAATTCACCCTTGATTCTGCCTCTAATTTGCACTCTATCAACAGAAAACATGATGTCCTTCCTGTTACGAGAAATCACCACATCATGCCAAATGTTGTCATCCAGAAGACTACCAACTGACAGACTTGTCATTATGCCCGCACCTGACAAAACAAAAGTCTGATTAGTAATATAACATGATTGAACTTTATCAGAAAGACCAGTAGTCAACATTAACATTATACAGTAATATTTTTATGTGTGATTCTAATGAGTAAATATTAATGTAATTTTCAGACATATTAATTAACTCTTTACATCCCATGCCCGAGTTAAATCGGAATGCTAACATGGCTTCCGCTATCCCAGCCCAGAGTTAACTCGGAATTGAAATATCGCGTCATGTCCCACTCCCAAATATATTCTGGAGACGTAGTTTGATAGTTTACCACTCGATGGAAAATCTGACAATCGTTCTACATACAATAGACAAATCTATAGATCGCTACACTTGAGATATCGATGTTTTTGTGTGATCGTGATTTTTCTTGACAGCTGTCTGCTGTGTCAAATTGGCTTCAAGTAGTAAACATAGCATGACTGAAGATGAGATTTTAGATGTTTTAGGTAATGATAATGTGTCTTTATGAAGACAGCAATTATGACTTTGTCATCGATGATATTGTCGAAAGCAATGACAAAAGTGACAATACAGAATAAGAGGAAGAAGATGGCAACGATGGGGCTGCTCCCACTTTCTTAAAAAAAAAAAAGTAGGTTACTGCCAGAAAATGTAATTCCACGTACAATATGGATGAATGACAAAAATTTTGTGCTACAGAAGCCTGATTCTGACCGATCCCAGACAGTGATTGGAAACCTGAGTTGGGACATGCTCAAAGTGGGTTAAAATTTGGGAGTTAAAGGGTTAAGTAAACTACTGCATATTCAACAATATATTCTTTTCCTCACTATTATCATTGTAATATCATGAATGTATAAATGCAAAAAGTTAATGATCACATTCACACAGATGTAAACACATGATAAGGGAGAAATCTGCATTTGGTCACTTTGTAGAGTCAACAGTTTCAACCTTGCATGGCAGTAAACTCTGTACCTAGCTCTATGAACATGTACAAAAATGTCACCACCACAGAAACCTGAAATCTCACCAAGATGTATTACATGACTAATGCTAAATAATGACTGACAGTCACAACTTTGTGCTACACAGTAATTACAATAAGTTATTGCATTAGTTCATAAAGGAAACAACAGCACTCTTTACACTATAATGTACCAAATTTAAGTGTCACCAATGTTGTACTTCAAGTTCATCTTCAAATTTATAGTACCACTTCAAAATTTGTGTTATTCAAAACTCAATCAACCCTCTGCTATTTTGCACATCTATATCAAGTAAAAAGATATTGCAGTACCATCTGTTAATAGTAGACCACACTAGATTCCCCTAATAAATACAAGACACTGAGTTTGTTAAAAAGGTTTAATATTCCGTGATAATGTGTATACATTTTTTGGAGCAACTGTATTTACTTCTGAAATAATGGTGTATCATATATATAACAGTGTGAGGTACATCAAAATGATTGAAAAAGAAAGATGTCTGGAACATTTCGCTACAAAAAAAACGGGTCCTTCAAGGGTCACTGCCCTTGTTCCAGTATCTGACAGATGGAACTGTTAACAAATAATGGATGGCACATGAAGCTGATCACTAATATCCTCCTAGTAGATATTATAAATGCATGCATCTTGATCTCAATTCCCAGCACCAAAGTGCAGAGATTACTTTACTCCAACATTCAATTAACCCTTATTCTCGTACTACTTACATGCAGACTGGGTCTGGTGTCTGCAACATCTCCAAAAATCCATCAATGACAAAGTGAAATTGCTGAAAGAGATGGTAAACTATTTACACACCTAGGTCTATGTTGAGTAGCATCCTGTTGTCCCTCAGCTGCAAGGCGATGTAATCACCTTGTGTACCTCGGCTATACATGAGAACTCCATTTGCAACAGAAGTCTTGAATCTGAATTTAATGGATTCTCGTGATGCTGAAATGGGGTCTCTCATCAAATCCCAACGAACAAGTGCAGAACCATTAAAATACAAATTGTCTGCCACTGGAAAATAACAATAATGTTTGAAGACATTACACAAAAATCCAAATCGACAACCAAAACATATCTTCTATTTTTAAAACTTAAAACTGTGTCCTCAGGAAATGATATTACAAGCATTCAATTAGTACTGGCAAGATAAACTTGAAATTAGTGTTTTATTACAAATCAATTTTAAACTTGCTCACATCTAATCAACTCCATAAATTTACAAAATGTAATTTTATACCAAGGACCTTCTCAGTATAAAGCAGGAGCGTAAAGCACCTCAGCATGACACTCAATCATACGATGTACCTGATCACTAAAAAGATCTTACCATAATCACAGCCATACAGTTCTACTCTGAGAGAAATTCTGTCCCTCCATCGGGTGGGATTTATGCGAATCCACTGCGCAATGACAGGCACTTCAAACACATTCTTCCTTAACCCATCTCCATTGACATTTCCTTTGAACATCTAGAAGAAAATTTGAAGTTCATTACTTTAATCTGTAACTGCAATAATAGTTTGTGTTCAGGATGCAAAGTGAAACCTACTTTTCAGGTTTCTTGGAGAATGCAAATGCAGGGTACATCCTCCATATGACAAATAATCAGCCATCCTCACACACAATTACAATGAGGTTCACAGTATGGTACTACAGCACAGAAGAGGTACTATTCAATCAGGGACTGTCCATGGGATTTCAAAACAGAAATTTCTACATTTCAAGGCATGTCAGAGCTGTCACACCACTTCAAGAAACATAAAGATTTACAAATGAAATCCACCAGAAGTTCCACAACTAAACACAATAACTATTTTATATAATAAACTTTTCATTACTTCTGCAAAGGTGTGTGACAATGGTGGTTCCTTACAGGAATACTATGTTGGACACTGTCTGTAGCTGACTCCACACCCTCATTCAAGAGATACAAGGGTTACTTCAAAAGTCATGTCAACCAATTTTTGGGGGGGCAAACACATTATATTGAAGAAAGTTCAAAATGTACATATGAAAGGGCACAATATACTCCCCCGATTGGCGTACTCATATCAAGTAGGTGTGAATGGGTGTAGGTATAGTAGGCAAGAAAAAATGCACATTACGGAATGACCGTTTTTTGTCAAGAACCTTTTATGACGGAGATGGGAAGTACTACACCATCCTCCATATTCATCCGACTTTTCGCCATGTGAGTATGACTTAATACCCAAATTGAAACAGCCATTGCGAGAGAAATGCTTTCACACACAAGAGGACATTTCCAACGCAGTTTGGCACGAGATGGCAAGATTTGGAAATGGTGAAGCTGATGGTATTCGCCGTCTTCCTCGTCGTTGGCAGCGAGTACTCGATACGCGCGGAGACTACTTTGAAGGTTGCTAGTCTTAATGTAAGAATTCTGATTTAACTCACACTGAATTTTTTTTAATCACAATTGAATTTTTCAAGGATTAAAGAATGAAAAAAACCGGTCATTCCGTAATGTGCATTTTTTCTTGCCTACTATACCTACACCCATTCACACCTACCTGATCTGACTACGCCAATCGGAGGAGCGTATCGTGCCCTTTCATATGTATATTTTGAACTTTCTTCAATATAACATGTTTGCCACCAAAAAAATAGTTGCCATGACTTTTGAAATAACCCTCGTAGGTTGCCATTATACCAACATACTTTTAACACTCTATGCTAAATATGATGAGATTCTCATGATGGTAGTATAGTGACAGCCCCACTGTTGCTCTTCATTCCACTATCAGATGTAGCATGACTCTGCCTGTCAAGTCAACCAACAGAACTTCCTGCACAACATTCAGAACTTGCTGGATACCAGCTCTGGCTGCTACTGTGTTTAACTCAATTTCATTAACTTTACACAATGTTTATATTACTAAACACAGATGGTTAGTATCCACATCCACTCATGCATAAGAAAGAGGTGCATTTATTGGTGATATAGAAGCTATGTAGCTTTTATGATATACGCCATGCAGGAAGTACATTGTAGGTTTACCCAATTCACAGCATGCTTAAAAAACCGGTGCTATCCACAAACAAATGGGTAAGAAGTCATTGAAGAACTTTAGCCTGAGTTTCCTTCAAATGCTTTAATTTATATGATGAGGCTAGCAAAAATTATAAATTATTAATTCGCCATACAGTAAATAATTTCTGTCCATAATTTCCAATAATGAGATCCTGAACAGTCACAGCTCTTCTGTAGCTTTGATAAACATTTAATGCTTTATTAAGAAAATTCCTGTAGTTTCATTACTGCTACCATAAAAAATGTTTTAAAAATTAATTCTCTCTTTCATTTGGTTATCAGACACCGTTGCTTCTGCTCATATAAGAAATGACCATCCTTCTCACCACAATGTACATGAGGCAGTCACTTCCAGCATTTATTTCAGTAGCAAAGGCATCGGTAATTACTTCCTAAAATTGTAATATTTATAGATTTACATGTGTTAAATGTAATAACACTGATAAAATGTAAATTACCCATACATTTATTCCATTAGCAAAATTAATTCTTAAAGTGCCCATACCTTCCAAACACTTTTCAGACATATTTTTATTGGATGTTTTTGACTTGAACATCACCAAAAACACACCTTAGTTCTGGACACCCTATACACGTGCTGACATTTATCTTAACTTATTAACTTTTATAGAAACATTATATTATATTATATTATTACCTTATCGACTGTGGACTCCTAGGTTGTAACACTGTATAGTCAGTCTTGTAGGTGGTTACCAATGTTTGAGAGGAATGGCATCACAAACCAAAACATCCCAATCAACACTTATGAGTACCTCACACCTCATTTTACAAACATAATTTCAAACTTTACAAAACTGTGTGTCAACATCACATTTAGATAATAGAAATTTCTAACAAAATACTGAAGTGCAGTAGAATTAAAATGCTTAATTTGTGCATAGACAGTCCTAAAGTTAGATCTTGGTTGATGCTGACACTTCTTTATTGGCTGCAATTTAAAGTGTTACAAAAATATGACACAATTATTATTGCCTGAGTAAAACTCATACTTCCACCCCGTGTGCCATGTTGTTATCATCAAATACACCAAGTGCAAGGTTAGAGTGGCCTCCACTGGCATAAAATTCAATAAAAAAAATTTAAAATCTGTCTACCAGTTCTCACAATGAAATATTTGGATGGCTGAACAGGCACACTGTCCCATTCATTTGTTCAGGGTATGGACTTCATTCAAAGAATACATAATATCTGTTGCTTTCCCCTAATGTTTCAGTCATCAAATTTGACAAGTACACTGTAAATTTCTGAATGTAAAATTATTTAATAAGATAAGGTATCGTCTGACCCTACATATCATAATCATCCAAATTTTGTTGCTGCTCCAAGGATGAATAACAATACTGGAAACAAATTTGTTCAACTTGCTGTATTCACACAGAAATTTTCCTTACAATACAAATTTTGTTGTCCATTAACTTAATGCTACAGCATAGGTGAATAACAGCTATATGAAAGCTAAAAAATATCCAACTTATTCCTGGCACTGATCCTGATATGCAAGTAATAGATCCACCCTTCAGCTACCTTTAACCTTACTACACAATAACAAGGAACCTAAGGAAGCACCAATGATTATCTGAACAGGGTGGCAAAGAAAGCGTTAAAACCCCAGCAACACACTGAACCTTAACTCCTGCAGCCAGTCTCCAAATCACAATAAACACGCACAACAAAAATTATCATAGCAAACAAAGGTTATTAATCTGTCTATACACGTGCTCCACAACCGGTGCCACAAGATTGCAGGTGTGCTGCTAATTTGATGATAAATTGTACAGGTAGCCCTCGATTTGCGCCGATTCAGAATAACGCCTATTTTGAAAACAGAAAGTCAAAAAAATATATTTTACTATTATTTATAACGTTTTACAATGTTTCTCGTACTGATTCTTATACTAAATCGTAATTCCTACGTCGCTGATTTTGAATAAAAATTGTATAGTCATTTCTGCAATTACGTATGTTTCGTTAACGCGAATTTACTCCAATGAGATCGATGAATCGGTAAAAGCTGTTTGTGAAATTCAAACTTTTGAATATGTGAGTTTGCTCTTATGCAATTTCATTCCTGGCGCTTTAAACTTTCGAAGGACTAATTTAATCTCTGCGGAGGTACCGGGGTTATTTTTACTACGCTATTTTCTATAGGTCGGCGTCTTACATGAATGCAACTATCGCATAACAGCAGAGATGACTGCACGCATCAATCACATGAAATAATAGCAGTCAATCGCGGGGACCAACGAATTGCCGATTGTAAGTGTATAAAATATAGTTTTTAAATTCCCTTTATTTTATTTACGTTATTTCAGAGCTTTAAACGTAATGCCATTATATTACTCGTCAATGTCATTGACTTCCCACTGATTTACATTATAAAAGAGTTTCAATTTACGCCGATTCCGTTCACGCCGGTTCGTCCAGGAACGCATCCTCGGCGTAAATCGAGAGCTACCTGTATATTCGCAAGTTCAGGTTACAGAACACAGGTCTATACCACAGTACTTCCCATGTATCAATAACCATACTTCTGCGTTATGAAGCATACCTAAATTTCACTGCATAATGTGTGCTACTATCTGGATAATTCTGTCTTTAATATTTTATAATTTCCATTTATGTACAACATTCTTCACCAAAATTATTCTGATGAATAAAACTAACTTGCATTACAAGTTTGCATATATTAAAAAAAATGAAATGCAAACGTTCACTTATCAAGAAATACAAATTTATACCTCAGGCTCTCCTGTGGAACTTGCATAACTTTTCCACCCTTCTCCATCATCAGAGTATTGTACAATGTATTCTGTAACAAACTCTGAAGATTCTGCCCGTCCCTGAGTCACTATCGATCGGATTTCTTTTCTACCATCCAGATTAATTGTTAGAAAATGATAGTATGTGTTATCTTTGGGACTCCAAGCTAAATCGCCTGAAAACAATAAAAGGAAAGTTGCTTCGAAAGAGTGAAATAAGACTTGTTAGTACAAGAATGTTAAGACAAGACACCACAGACATCCCAAACATCAGTCATAAAAATTCCATTACTGACATTACTCAGCCACTTTCCTTTCTTAATGATGTTTTAGCACTCTCTTGTAGTGACAAATGACTATAAACTCAAAAACAAATGGGGAAAAGTAATCAAAATTATGAAATAAGCAAAACTACAGAAAATTCAACTGCCTCAAAATTCCTTTCAAACATGAGTCAAGGACTACCTCCATTACATAATATGAATCTCTGCCAGTTTTTACAGGAACTCACACCATAGAGAACATGACGTGAACATTATGCACTTTCTGGTTAAAATTAATAAAGATATATAATCGAGAGTTGCCAAAATCATTATGAAACAGCACTTTTCTCTAGTATGTTCCATAAAATACGCATTAAGTCAATGAAAAAAAAAGTAAATTACAATGACCATGCAAGATGACTCAACAGTTAAATTAGTCTGAAACAGCATAAAGACAAACACAACTTACTGAATAAATGTCAGATCATGGCATTTTTATCCGTTTCTGAACTACATTACAGAAAGTGCATCCAATATAAAAATATCACTCTGTGCAACTTACCTTTGTGTTACCTCCAGGCTCTTTGTAATCAGCATAATCAAGTCCATTGGTGCCATAACTGACGCTGTATTCCATGACATATTCTGACGAGTGACGTCGTCCCTGAGTAGCAATCCGAGTGACATTTCTGACACTACCCAGATCAACGATCAGATACTGGTCAAAATCTGAGCTGGATGCTGTCCATGCATTGTCACCTATACCACAGCAGGCGGGTGGGAGCACAACCATGCATCAGCCACCAACATCAAATCACAAGATAAATAAAAGAAATGAAGGGAGGGAAAGATGTGTCTCAACTTAAATAAAGGACAAGAGATTGACTGTAAACTGATAAAAATCTTTCTTTACTAGAAAGAAGCAGAACTGACAGAAGACAGGGCTCAAGTATGAGTATGTGGGTTGACATTAGCCTTTTAACTACGTGGCACAGGATCTATCATACGCAGCTTATTATTATTCAACTGGTCTAAAAATACCCATCATGCAATGCGAACATTCATCTGGGTGTTCAAATAAGCCTGCCAAATGACTCCCATCTCAACCAGTAAATCCAATTCAGTTCAATCATCTTCAAAACTCACTCTTCCAAGATCAATTTTTATATAATTATTCTGCTTCCCACGCAATCTACTTTCTCTCCCGAACATAATTTTGAATATGTTTCCACACGCATACTACATGAACCGCCTGTTTCATCCCTTGTAACTCAATCACCCTAGTAATGCAGATGACTCTCGTTATATGCCCTTTCACTATTTGCATTCTCACACATCCAGTTTTATTTCAGTATTATGAGAAGCATCATTATCCTATCTGATGCTGAATTTTAAAGCCCATTACCTACACTGAACCTTCTCCAGGCTTATCAGGGAGTGTGATTCAGATAAGCTTAGCACTAAAGAAGACTGGTGCCATTTTAACAGCAACTGATACACATCTCATTTTATGTGTTTTCATTACATGAGACAAGTTGCCAGAATGCACCCCAATGTATAACAAAAGTCACCTTGTATTAGCCGATTCCCTTGTCAGCTGTCCTTTCAAACGCACCCCTATTAACAACTCAGTATATAACAGGTAAGTGGATGAACATCAGAGGCAGGAGCAGTGAGAAAGATTTCTTTCTGTATGATCCACTTTCATTCTTAGTGGTTCAAATAAAAAGTTTAAGTTTACGTGATCATTGCAGAAACAGAGTGAGGCTTTAAAAACTGTGAAAAAGACCTGGTCACTTTAGGATTTGACATTCTCATGGCAGTGAGTACAAAGATGGCAGTCTTCTGGGTTGTAGCATCATGTAGTCTGGTAGAAGTTTACCAATGTTTCAGAGGTCACTGCTGCCTCCATCAACAGGGTGATGAGTCTCTGAAACATTGGTAAACTTCTACCAGACTACACGATGCTACAACCCACATGACAGCCATCTCCCTAGTCAGTTTTATTTTGCTTCATGCTACTGACACAGTATGCGGAGACAAAAAAATGAAGATAATTAATGCTCAAGGCCAAACTTGTGATTTATGTAGTTCACAAGACACCTAAGTTTCCACACCACCAAGAAAATTGTAATGTTGCTGTACCTATTACTTCCCTTTAAGATGTCCAATATGCACAACATGTAAAGTGTCCACCGGACACAAAAGAAAAATGACAAAACTGCTGCTCCCTTGTAATGACATATGAAGAAGAATATTGGCAATGAAATGGCTCACTGGATAAAGCAAAGCATGTTTATTCACTTAGGAGAGAGATCTGATTATATTAGTACAGATGAAGGAAAACTGTGGAGTTTATCTGAAGACAAATGAATGAGGGAAATGGTTCAAACTTTTTGTTTCTTGTTTAAATTATATTTTTCTTCAAATAGCCTATTTTGTAATTTTCTAAAAAATATTATAAATACATAAATAGACATTTTGGGTACATTTTTCATAAGATTGTTATTTTTAAGTGTCATCATGGATTTTTGTACCCAACTTTTAGTTTCATGGCTGTAATAAAAATGTATTAAATCGTATTCTGTTCAATGTAAAACTTGACCCAGTCTGCTTGAAAGAGGAATGTGCCACACTAGTTCACCTGCTAACCCATCACTCCTAACCACTTGCTCACTCTGCAGAAGCTCCACCCTCAGGTTTCAGAGCAAAGTTGTCAGGCTATACATGGTACTTCAAAGTAACAAATAAGGGGAATCAAAAAAATTATCTACTGTGGTACATTTCTAAGCATTTTGCACATCTTGTTTTGCAATTAAAAACAAAAAAGCTACACACTACAGTAACATCAACACAAGCAAATATAATATACCACAAGGATACTACCAGATTGCCTTAAATTAATTCAATTAATTCCAAAATGAATCACCACATCAAAAGAGTTCAAGGAAAGAAAGTGCAGTGCTGGCAGAAATCAGCACAACCAGTAAGACACTAAATTACCATAGTAATTTACAAAACTTCAATGCAAATCTTAAGACGACAATAAATCAAATGATCAGATCATATATTAATATCAAAGCAGATGGGTGAATGGATGACTGATCAAATTATTGAACACAGACTGACAGCTGGTCTACATACGAGTAATTCAATTATGACTACTCTTTTTTTTTTCATCTATAATTGAACACAGAATGACATAAAAGAATGAATTTCAAAGTATGTATTTGCTACCCAGAATTATATAAAAATTGCAACACAAACTGTAGGGCCTTCAACACTTGCCAGGAAACTCAGTGTAAGGGAAAATGTCAATTGTGCCAGCAATAACCAATAACACTGTGCATCATAGGTTGGCAAAGCCTAATGGAAATTAAAATGGCACTGCCACGCCCACTCAATGTAATGATATATAACTTTTAAATAAAGCATCAGTGCACAGGGCAATTAAAAGTTTAATAACACTGTGGAATGAAATGAGATATGAAGATGATCAAAACTGGGAAGTTGGGAGTGTCATACTTTTATACAACAAGGGAAACAAAAAACAGAATAGCCAACATTCAAATCAATTTAAAGTGGTTCATGAATCAAAAGTGGTATCTGCTATACTAGTCACAAGAAAAATGCTCTGCACCAAGTGTTGGTCTAATCAGGTTTCATCATCTTAACTGAAGTGATAAAAAAATTGGTCACATACATAAAATTAAATCTTACATATTTTCTTAAAAGAACTGTTTTTCAAGTATTCATGTGAATAAAGCCTTACAATTAGATCAGATCACACCAAATGAGGGCAAATGTGTCCTACACAGACATATATAAACCTATGTCATGCACAACATTAACAATAAAAAGCAATACACAAACATACACTGACTACAAAGAAGCTAAAACAAATTTCTATTTTAACTATAATGTTAATCTACATAAACCTGACTAACCTAATTCAATAGATTAAAGATTAATTCAACTGCAATAATGATAAACAATAAGCAAACTATTTCAGTTATCCAGCGTGTGCAATTAAATGGCAATGTACACAATTTAATAATCACAACATGTTAATCAATCCTCTTCTAATTCTTAAAATCCCCCACCACTTGTGAGACAAAATGATTTTCCATGTGAGTAGTAGAAAATAGGATTACTGGAAATGTCTTTATTTCATTTTTCCTCCAAAAACCTTCAATTTTCTCACAAAAGTGTTATTCTTGTAAGAGGATACAATTAATGTTTTCAAGTGACGTACATGAACAGTACTTTAAGTACTGTCACACTAGTAAACAAAAATATTAAAACACTGGATAGTCTGAATGTAAATATAATTTCTAATGGGTTCTGACAGGTGTACTGGAATCTGACTAGTGAATTTTTAAACTTTTTCCACATCTGGTATTCTAAAACAAATAACATTTAAAAGAGTGGATATCTCTTTGTCATTGGGTGTATGAAAGCAGAGTACATACTCTGATTGGTCCATTAGAAAAACTGAGGCTAGTTACTTCCAACAGACCCAACAGAATAGGTGCCCCCCACTTACACCTGAAGATGCAGAGATCCATTATTCAAAACACTGTCTGTTGTAGAACACCAGACAATGGATGAAGTCCAAAAACTCGGTAATCCAGGCTGCAGGTAAATGCGATCAATACCTACCAACATGTAAAAGCAAAGTAAAACTACACAAATTACATACTTCTAATAAATAAAATCTCCCTGTTATATTCAACAACAAAAGCACCTACTGTTATGAAGTCCAACCCATAAGTTTCCAGACAGATAAAATCAAATGTACAAGATAAATTCTTCTGAAATCTGTCTCAGTCACTACTAAATTATAATTTAACTTCTTATTTTAGACAAATGAGTTTGGAGAAGAAAAATGTTGGGAGGTACAGGCAGAGTGATGGGAAAACCTTTGTACATGTGGAGGCATTATATTGATGGTAACAAGTTTGGCCTCTTCCTTCAACTACATCTTTAACCTGACAGGCAGCACTTTGTATTCCAAGGACTCAGTCTGAAAATAGAAGTGTAACCTACATACATGTCACATTCAAAAAATGAACAAGAGATTTGTGATACAATGTTTATCTACAAAACCCAAACACTGACATCTTCTCACATAAGTGCACAACGAGGTAAATGCTGCCAACACATGGACACACTAATTTTGATTTTATCACAAGTTATAGAACATTATGTTAACTCAGTTAAGACACATGAAAAACATGACTTACTGTTATTAAGAACGACAAATGCTTGGCTACCATTGCCATCAATACAAAAGCAAAAGGATGTATTTCTGAAAACAAATGTCTCCACAATGATGTGAACATCATCTATAACGACCAAAAATACATACAGTTTGAAACACGGCACTGATTATAAAAATGGAAACATTTAAAGGAAATGTCAGATAAATTTTCTCTCATAAAACCGAGGTGCAATCTATACATGGATAAATATATAACCGGTGCACATCATCTAAATAAATGAATCCTTGGAATTAATAGATTTGGGGAGGGGGACATTTTTTAAATATTAAATGTCAAAACACATCTCTAGTGAAAATGCATTTATGAGATTTTCATTATACTGAACACACTGTAGGAAATTTGAACAAATATTCTTCTGTTTCAATGTTTTACTTCTCATCAATAAACTTTTGGGGAACATTTTCACACAAACCTTCATGCATAAGTTGCTGACTAAAATATGTTGTATCATTTCCTTTGACATGTCCAAGTATT